ATTCAAGGAGGACACAGGGGATCATATGACAAATTAAGATGGTACTGCCATGCAGTGCGTGAGACAAAACTGGAATGTATTGTCGATTGTGATATTGACCTACTCAAGAAAAAGTTTCTCCTACTTTTCATTTGTTTACATGCGTGCCTTGTTGGATTTTTAAATGGTTGCTGGCCTTTAGTATTTTTAGATGATAGTCACATTAAAAATAAGTATAAAGGTTGTCTTCTTAGTGTTGTGAGTAATGTTGCCAACGATGATTTGTTCATTATAGCATTTGTCGTGGTTGATGCTGAGACTGATGATAATTAGGAGTGGTTTTGCTTGAGACTGAAGAATATTTTGCTTTCCTTGAGTTTATCAAGTTTCAGAACGTTCACATTTGTTTACGGACCGACATAGTGCGCTACTAAAATACATCTCTACGGCTTTTCCTGGTAGCCATCATGCTTATTGTTTGAGACACTTAGTCGATAACTTTAAGAAGGATGTAAGAAATTTATTTAATTTATGTATATGTATATTAGAATCATAAGTAATATTGCAAGTGTCAGATGTATATTAATTTTTTGGTAGGTTTTGAAAAGTACGATCGAGGTTCATGCTACTCCCATAACAATATTATGTCATGAATTCGAACGGTCGTCGAACAATGAGTTATGCCCACTCTTGCGCGAAGATCACGCAACAAGCATTCTCGCTTTGATGGCGTGTCACGACTCACCCACGCACCTGCACGCGGCTGGGACTGCCCTCGTGTGCGCTCGGCTATCGCTGGTCTCACACACGCGCGTCGTTGGGTCTGTCATACACCAGCACCTGCGACTTATATCGCCCGCTTTACACGGTACCTACACGTGGTGCCTGCATCATCCCCAAGGGCCTTGCGTCTCGTACGTCTGCGCGCATCGTTGCCATCGCACACGCATGCCTCCAATCGGCCTTCACAACTGGGGGAGCCTTGGAGGCTGGCACGACTGAAGGAACCGAAAGAGTTTGGTTGTAGCGGGTGGAGTATAGCAGGTTATGTGGATAATGGGTTGTAGGGTTTTTATGCATAGAATTAAGCCTATAAACATATGTGATATGGGCCTAATCGGATTTTTCTTTTTATTCTTACCTGTGGGCCTATAGTTATATCAATTGTCACTTATAAGCCTAATGAAAAAAAAGAAAAAAAAATACATTCGGTTCGATTCGGTATTTACTGAACAAGATAGATCTCATACCGAAACCATACCGAAACAAAATCGGTAACCAAAAATCGAAAATCGGTGCAGATCGATTCGTTTCTTTTTTTAAATTCAGTTCAATTCGGTCAATTTTTTTATTTTCAAAAAAAAAAATTACCAACCCTATGCCTAACAATTGGAAATTTGGTTGCCAACTCAAAACCAACAAGAAAAGCTTGAAAACAAAACCATCAAGATTTTCGTATAAAGCTCGTGGAGCCCAACGTTTCTCCTTTTTTCAACACTCACATAAAAATAGGAAAGTCTTATGTTATCACAACATAATTGAAATGTATAGTTAATTTTTAATGTATAGTTAGTTAACATTTAACCATTTATTAAGTGGAGTTGTTACCGGAACTATAGTCAATAAATAGCATAACCGGTGAACGCTTTTAATACACTTTTTTCTTACAAAAGAGAGAGAAAAAAAAAAAAACATACTTTTTCAGCTTCCACAATCCACACCAACACTCACACTTTAAACCTCCCGTTTAGTACTTCTGAACTCAAAAGTACAAGGCCAGTTTTTGCAGTTTGCTCCGCAAATAAAAAAGAAAAAATAGAAAGCAAAAAACACACAAAATGGTACAATCAAAGAAGTTCAGAGGTGTCAGGCAGCGCCAGTGGGGTTCTTGGGTGTCAGAAATCCGCCATCCTTTACTGTAATCCCCTCTCTATATAAATTTCAGAATAGGTTGAGTCTACATGGCAAATTCTTACACTTCGGGATCTTATTTGGCAAAAAAACATGCTTTGGAGTTTGGCTTGGATATAAATTAATATTTTTTATCACACTAAATCTATGATTGATTTTTTCCTTATTTACTTCTACAATTAGTTACCATAAATTATTTTATATTTCTTTTTCCTATATTACCATACATTATATTTCATTTTCTTATTTAATTCATTCATTAGTTATTATAAATGTTTCTTCTTTTAATAAAAATAAATAATTATTTATTTAAATTCTAAAATTACATATAAAGTTAGAAAACTGTGAAGCACAATGGATACTACACTTGATGTATTTGGAATCTAATTAAGTAAAAAATTAATCTATTTTGCTTAATATTAAACAAACATATTTCTACACTTATGCATATACATATCACTATATTATTTCTATTTATTTAAGATATATAATTTTTTTACTTAATAATAGTAAATAATATCGATAATTTTATACGATATAAGTAAAAAAAAATCAATATGAGTTGACATTTTCATTTAATATACGGGTGTTTAATTATTATAATTAAAAAAAATATAATTTGACAATTTAGTTAAAACTCAAAATAATGTTTTATATAAAATTAAATTATTTTAGTTAAAAAAATTAATATTTTTTACGTATGTTTCCTAATTCAACACCCGTGTATTTACACGGGTATTGTACTAGTAATTCTTAAAAGTTAAAACATTCCATTCTTTAATTTCTAATACTAATATTTCACCTACCATTTTTAGCTTCACATATTATCATTCTTAAGTACAATAAAAAAATAAAATAAAATAAAGACCTTCAAGTACATTCTTTTTCGAGTTGCAATCATGCTTATAATGTCTTTGTGCAAGTTAATTGCACTTATAACCTTGTTATAATTATTTTTTTATTTATTTAATTATTGCCATTTTAAAAATAATCTATAGGAAAAAAAGGATTTGGCTTGGGACATTCGAGACGGCCGAGGCCGCGGCCAGAGCATACGACCAAGCGGCGGTCCTAGTGATCGGCCACAACACAAAGACGAATTTCGCTCTCCCAAACGGCTCCCAAGAAATAAACGAGCCCCCGAGCCCAGAAGCGGGCCCGCGTGCAGAGGTGAATTTGAGAAGGGAAAAAAAAGGAAGAAGAAGAAGAAGGTGAATTTGTAATTAAGTAACTCAGGTCGTTACCTTACATGTGAGAGCTAAATCTTATGATTACGGTTTAGTTCTATTTGTATGAAAAAAAATAAAATATTGTGTTTAGATACGAAGTCAAATATAAAGAAAATAAAAAAAAGAATAATTGATATATGTATTATTTATATAATAATATAACGATGTTAATTGTTTTTTCACCTAGTGCTCCTATAATGGTTTTAATGGCCCGATCAATTACATTCGCACAATTGTGTGTGATTCGATAGTAGGGTCGATAATGTATGGCATGTGCCAAATGAGAACCCTGAGTATATTTTT